GATGTGAAGAATGTGAAAAGTCCAATACCCATGTCTCAAATCATAGAAAGCATGAATATATTCATACTGGAAAGAAACCCTACAGATTTGAAGAATGTGGCAAGTCCTTTAGTCCCATGTCCGACCTAAGAGCACATCAGCAAACACATACTGGAGAGAAACCCTACAGATGTGAAGATTGTGGCAAGTCCTTTAGTCAAATGTCACATCTTACAAGACATCAGCAATACATACTTGAGAGAAACCTTACAGATGTGAAGAATGTGGCAAATCATTTATGATGCACTCAACTTATAAGAAACATAAGAGAATTCCTATTGGAGAAAATCCCAAGAAATGTGAGGAATATAAGAAGTCCTGTACAAAGATGTGTTAAGCACGCCTTTAATCCAAGCACTTGGGAGGTAGAGGCAGGCAGATCTCTGTGAGTTCAAAGCCAGCCTGGTCTACATAGTTAGTTCCAGGCAAGTTGGAGCTACAGTGAGACCCTGTGTCAAGAAAGCCAAAGAAAAAAAAAGAAAAAAAAGTGTTAGATTAGAGCACATCATGTAATTCATACTTGAGAGAAACCCTACAAATGTGAAGCATGGGCCATTCCTTTTGTCATATTTAATGTTTAATCAGATAATTCATACTGGAAAGTAACCATTCTGATTAGAAGAATGTGAAAAACTGAGAGCTCAGAACATAGAAGACTTGAGAGATTTAATACTAGAGAGAGACCCCATAACTATAAGGGGTTTGAGAAGTCCTGTACTTGTATTTCAACTCTTAGAGAACATCCAAGAATTTACAATAAAGCGAGGCACTGCAGATATAAGGAAAATGGCAATTCCTTTAATAATGTGTCAAATGGTGGCAGTTATCAAAAACACATACAAAAATGATAGTTTACAATTGCACAGAATGTGGTACATTTTTACTCTTGGCTCAATCCTTAGAAAACAAAGCAGAATCTGTACTAGGGTGATATATCTGAAAGTCTGGAAAATGCTCAAATGCGGCCATATCTGTGGAGTAATTTTCTTCATTGTTTCATGAGGTGGGAGGGCCCAGCCCACTGTGAGTTGCACCATTCCTGGGCAGGTAGTTCTGTATTTTATAAGAAAGAAGTGTGGGCAGGTGCTAGGGGAGAAGGTAGTAAGCAGCACTACTCCATGGCCAGTGCTCCAGCCTCTCCCTCCAGGTTCCTGCTCTGAGTTCCTACCTTGGCCTCCCTGATGAATCCTGAGAGGTATAAACCATATAAACCCTTTCATCCCCACTTTGATATTGGTCAGAGTGTTTTGTCACATCAGTGGAGAAACAAAGGAGAACAGTAACAAGTATTGAGTTGCCATGTATTCTTTAAATTTAATGTGTATATATGAAAATGTTAATACATATATGCAACTTGGAAAATTCTAAACTGTATGAAATCCTTGTATCTTTATTTGCATATGAAGGGGGAAAAGATTTATGCAAATATCTTTTTAAAGGTGGAAATTCCATAATAAAAAGTCCAGGACACAGTACAGTCCCTGTAATATGAGAGGCTGGATTATTTTTTTTTAAGTTTTAAAAATAAATGTCAATTATTTCTATATTTTCTTCAAATGGTATATGATAGTTTGATAGACAAAACTGTTTTATTTAGAAAAATTTGTGTTGCCAAAATTGGTCCCATCGGCTAGTTTTACCTTCAACTAAATTCATGTTTTCACTAAGTGTGGTGATTCATGCCTGTAATCCCAGTACTCAGAGGCAGAGACAGGCAGATCTCTGTGAGCTCAATGCCATGCCAGTGTACCTTATGAGTTTGAGGTCACCTGGGGATACAGTGAGACCCTGTTTCAAAAAACAACCCCCTAAAATTCATATTTTCTAATTTATAAAGGATATCATGAAAAATTATAGCAATTGTTGACTCAGAGTTGAATGGATTTTTTTTGTTCAATGCATTAGCAATGCTTCATTAGTGTCAATTGTTCCATAAGTAATTCATGGACAAGGAAAATTCATCAGAGTAGATGTATTTCTTCATGATGAATGATGATGCATTTTAGTGTGATGTATGTTTGGCATATTTCTACCATAGGAAAAGAAAATGAGAATCCTGAGTATTCGAAAGCAATCATTTCCAATGACCCGCAGGTGAAAATAATCTGCAAAGTATATTAATTTAGTGCTGAATAACACAATAGAAAGAATAGTTAGATGTTTTCAGTATTAGTTAATGTAGTAACAACCATAGGTGGAAAATTAAAACTTATCTCCGTAGATTTGTGATTTTTAACATTTAGTATCCTATTACATTGAAAATTGCAGATAATGATAAAAATTGAAGACTGTCGCCTTTAGTCTGTGTACTTGAGAAGCAGAGGCAGGTGAGTCTCTGTGATTTCAAGGCGAGCCATGTCTATATAGCGAGTTCCAGGCCAGCTGGGATTACAGGGTGACACTGTCTCAAAAAAAAAAAAAAAAAAAAAAAAAAATTTTTTTTCAAATCCAAAATTTTAATGGG